CGCAATTCTGACTTTTTTTTCTCGCAATTGCGAGTTTATATCTCACAATTCTGTGAAAAAAAGTCAGAATAGTGAGTTTATATCTCGCAGTTATGACTTTATTTCTCAGAATTGCGAGTTTATATCTCTCAATTATGACTTTTTAACTCTCAATTGCGAGTTTATATAACGCAATTCTGAGAAAAAAAGTCAGAATTGTGAGATAAAAAGTGGCAATTACCTATTTTATTTTTTATTCAGTGGCGGAAACGGGCTTCCATAAATGGCTAACCCATTTGTCTTGTTAAAATTAAGTGAATTAGCTCGCATTGTATTTATCGTAAATACACACAATCAAACATTATTTTCGCACTTTTTGAATAAATCTGGATTGGAATAAAAAAATTTGTACAATAAGTGTTTACCTTTATTGTTTTCTTCACACATCATGTCTCATATTTCTTTTCAAGCATGCTTTTTAGTGACACCTTCATCTTTTTTTGTAACCAAGTCCGTACATTTTTCCATAAAACTTTATTATTTTATATTATATTATTTATTAAATGTTGATTATGGAGGAAGTGATGCCACAACTTTAATTTAAATGTACATAAATAAATAAATAAAACATCGTTGTCATAGTTTCTAATTAAGATGAACAGTTTTGTAACAAAAGTTAAATGGAAATGTAATTTTTGTCCCCATAAATTTCATAAATTAAGATTGAGACCTGGAACTGTGACAAGTAAAATAAAAACAAAATCTATCCATTTAATGCATTTTAGAAAAGTTAAGATATTGTATAACGTTTTTAAGTAGGCTAATTAATGTGACCTTCATATAACAAAAATGTAATATAACTTGTGTTGAAAAAAAATTACATTCTTTTAATAGCCAAAGAGACCGTTTTAGCCTTTTGTCAACAGTATGTCTAGCAAGTATTGTGTTTAGAGTTCTTTCTTTTGAGACACTTTTGGAACATTTAACATAATTTCTTAATAAAATATTTATAACCAAAAGCAACATTACAATTAAATTATGTGTAATGTCTCCTCCTTTCTGTTGCTGTTCCAAATAAAAGCGCTTTGATGATGAAAGCAGGTTTTTGTAATGATTTGCTCTCATAGTTAACACTGTGTTGTCTTCACTCCAGAGCGCGCAGTAATACGAGCCCTCATCACTGGGCTCCAGTCTTGAGATTGTGAGAGTCAGTGTCACTGGCTTATCCTTCTCCGCATCGTTTACCGATCCAGTTATTTTACGGGGGGCATCGGGGTCTTTTTTGAATGCTTTCGATCCAGCTTCGAAATACATTAATCTTTGGAAAGCTTGATCCTTGAGTCTGTACCAGTGGAGAGCGTTGGACTTAAACGTCGCTGAATCCACTTGGCATTTGATTAGAGCAGCTTTACTCCTTGTCCTAATCATCACAGGTTCAAGATGCGTCATTTGTCCATTTAGACAATCTAAAACCATAAGAGAAACTATTAGAATGAGCTTAGTGTGTATTCATTCAGTGAAGCGCTTACATTTTGGCATTACATTAAACTCAAGAACCCAAAAGCTCACGAACAGCAGTTGCTCCCTCCTGAGTAAACCAGTTGTACGCTGCTCGAGTGTTTTAGGACTGTTAACTATATTTACGTTTAGCACAAGTAGGTCTATGCGACAAAAAAACTGTTTTGTTTAAAATGTTTTCAAGATAGCTCACAAGTTGCTTGTGCGAGACGAACCTCAAGAGAAAAACTGAACATGCACGAAATAAGTGGAAATGCCTTTTAAAAGTCATAAATCTCTGAATAACAATGTGTAAATTTGATTGAGAAATGTTAATAATTATAACAGAATACTAAAATCTCACCTATTAAGACTACTAGCAACCCAAATGTTATCATTCCAGACAGTGCCATGTCTACATCTGTCGTCCAGCAGTCTGAAGAATTATGAAGTGCATCAGCCAATCAGAAGGTAGTGATAATGGCCTTGTGGTTTCCTCTTTGCACATATCTCGTCGTTTTTTACACAAGCTAAAACAATCTATATAAATGATGGGTGATGGGAATCAACACTCATTTAACACGTGTAATTTTAAAGCGCAATTTAAAACCTTCTCCAGAGCAGATACAGTATCAATGCAAACGGCTCTTCCTCAGCGGTGCTATGGATTCAAATATGGTAAACAGGTGAACTTTTGAGTAAAATTCTGATCAACAACATTCAATGAGAGCACTATGATATAATTACGTATAAATATATTGTGTTTTTCACAGTGTGTATGTATTTAATAAGTGCTATTGCTAAATTGGTCAGAATGATAAAGTAAAGAGTCAAGACTCAAACCATTGCCGTCTGTCAGTCATATAATGGAAGTGAATTTGGTTTTGTTTGTGTATGTTTTTTGACTCTCAAAGCCGTGATTCCCATCCACTTGCATTATATGACTGACAAACTGCAACGGTTTGAGTAAAAAATCTTCGTTTGTGTTCTACTGAAGAAACAAAGTCACCTACATCTTGGATGCCCTGGGGGTAAGCAGATAAACATCAAATTTTCATTTTTGGGTGAACTATCCCTTTAAGGTTATTTTAATTAATCTTTTATAGTGAGGTTGATATGAATGTATGGGGGAAACAAAACAGCTGGAAAAAACAAACAAACAAAAACACAAATATGAAATACATCCATAAAACTGGTGGGCCAGATTTTTTAGTACAGGCTAGTATTATTAATCATGAATATGATGTAATGTTTAATTTACAGCGAGTATCCTTAATTTAGCTTTGGTTTTGCTAATAGCTATGTTATTTTATAAAATATGTTCTGTAAAATAATGAGAATTTCAAGTGTCCAATTACTTTTGGGTGCCACTTTATTGGGATTATTAAGATCTGATTTATGACTATTAAGGTATTAACCTATTTTAATCTATTTAACCCCCTTTAAAGCTCCATTACGAGAACAACAGTGCACAAGTTAATGAGCATCATTCATTTTGTTATGCAAGATGATAAAGTTTCCTGTACACTTTTTTACACTGTTTTGCAAAAATCCTTACAGAAAATTGTTCAGCTACACACATAAATTTAATGATGTCACCTCCTGAGGTGGAGCTCTGATAAATGTCAGTGCTCTTTTTCTATATGTGAAACAGGTGCATTTCTACCACACCTGACTGATATGTATGATATCTCATCTTAAATATATATGCTTTTCATCTTAAACCTGAAAATCCTCTTTTGCGGTTGAGTAGCACCATCCTCTGTTGGAGATCTGCATGTTAAACAAACAACTGTTCAAATGTCACAAATATGCTCTTCAGGATGCATGTTGGACTCGTTGGAAATTGGGTTTATACACATGAAAAATCAGCTCTATAATAGGCTAGATGTCACATTTATATTTAGAAGAGTAAAATCTAATGAATGTTCTCAATATCCGTAAGTTAATGTACAGTATGTGTGTGAATGTTCTCAGTGTGGTTGTTTGAGTCCCAGTAGGCGCAGAAGTAAACGGCAGCATGAATCGGTTTTGTGTTGCTCAGTTTTAGGTTATGAAGCTGGGTTCTGTCCACGGTGAAGTCATTTGCTTGAGGATTGTTGGTATCATGAATAAAGCTGCCGATATATATATATATATATTTCTTAAATAAGGCCTCCAACATATTTTATCCATATGTCATATTTTCTTTCTTTCTTTCTTTTTTCTTTTTTGAAATAAAATAAAATGGCTGACCCATTTGTCTTGCTAAGTGGATTGGCTAGCTTTTTATTTATCATAAATGCACACAATCAAACAATATTTTCACACTTGATGGAGACTTAATGAAACTCCCGGACTGGAGTAAAAATATTCTGTTCCATCAAGTGTTTAGGTGCTTTTTTCTTCACACATCATCATCATCATTTTTTCTTCTTCACCTTTGTCTTTTTGTAACTATGGCCATAAATGCTTAATAGAACTTTATTATGGGCAAAAATGTTGATTGTGGAGGCAGTTAGCCACAGCTGTGGGACAGCTGTAATTTGAATGATCTGAATTATTTAAAAATTTTTTACATAAAATAAAATGAAATAATTGTCAACATAGTTATTATGATTAAGATTAAAACAAATGTTATTTTAAATGTAAATGTAAAATGATTAAGATGAAAATGATTGAAAATTAAGATTGAGATCTGGAAATGTGACATGTAAACTAAAAAGAAAACCTATTCATAAAAGAAATTTGAGAAAAAAATAGAATTAAGACATATAACAATAAAGTAATAATAACTTGTGTTGAAACAAAATCACATTTTAATTAGTCGAAGAGACTGTTAATATGGTACAGTAGGCAGTAACAAACATTGTACATTGTGGAACATTGTGGTTCTTTCTTCTGAGACAATACACTTTTGGAACATTTAACCTAATTCTTTAATTAAATCTTGACAACAAAAAGCAACATCACAATAAAAATATGTCTAATGTCTCCTCCTTGCTGCTGTTCCAAATAAAAGCGCTTTGATGATGAAAGCAGGTTTTTGTAATGATTTCCTCTCATAGATAGCACTGTGTTGTCTCCACTCCAGAGCGCGCAGTAATACGAGCCGGCATCGCTGAGCTCCAGTTTTGAGATAGTCAGTGCCACTAGATCACCATTCACCGACCCAGAAAATCTACGGGGGGTGTCGGGGTCTTTTTTGGCCTTTGACGAACCAGCTTCGAAATACATTAATCGTTGGAGAGCTCCCTTTGGTGGAGCTCTGTACCAGTGGAGAACGCTGGACTGAAGGGTCGATGAATCCACTTTGCATTGGATTCGAGCTGCTCTACCACTTGCCTTAATTATCACAGGATCAGGGTGCGTAATTTGTCCATTTAAACAATCTAAAACCATAAGAAACCATTAAAATGCGTTGCGTGTGTACACGCAACAAAACACTTATATTAGCCTACATTAAACACAAGAACCCACTAAATAAAAGCTCAAGAACAGCAGCTGCTGCTCGAAAGTTTTCTGTTAGAATCAGTATCGAACATTACACCGATAAAACGGTAGGACTGTAAACTATATTTGCGTAGCCTATAGCACAAGTAGGCCTATACAACAAAAACTGTTTTGTTTAAAATGTTTTCAATATAGCTGAGAAGTCGCTTGTGCGAGACGAACCTCATGAGAAAAACGGAAAACACCACGAAATAAGTGGACATTAATTAAAAAACCTTCTCCAGAGCAGATATCAGTGCAGATATCATATTAATTTAAAATTAATAATAGTGAGTAATTGTGATTGAGAAATGTTAATAAATATAAGATAATACTAAAATCTCACCTATTAAGACTACTAGCAACCCAAATGTTATCATTCCAGACAGTGCCATGTCTACATCTGTCGTCCAGCAGTCTGAAGAATTATGAAGTGCATCAGCCAATCAGAAGGTAATGATAATAGCCTCGTGGTTTCCTCTTTGCACATATCTCGTCGTCATCACTATCACAAGAAACAAGCTAAAACAATCTGTATAAATGATGGGTGATGGGAATCGACATTCATTTAACACGTGCAATTTAAAACAACAATTAGGCTTTGGGTTATAAAGCTGCCTCTTCCTCAATAGAACCCTTCTTCATTTTTCTTTGTAAAATGGATAGTATGGATTCAAATGTGAAGAGGTTTTGAATGAAACTTAAAAAAATAAAATAAAATAGTAATGACACTGTGATATTATCTGGGATATGTAGATGAAAAGAGTCTAAAAATAAACTGATACACTAAAATCTATTTTAAATGATACTATTCATGCATTTATTCAGTTAGACTATTTGTTTAGTAATCCAGATTTTGTAACTTTTGCAGGGCCTTTCCAATTTTTTGATAAACAACTCAAGTGAAATGCTTAAAGTCTGCACACTGCTGCTACCAGAATTTATTTTCGCCACACAAAGACCAGTGCTATATATTAGTGTCATTGAGATTTTGATATACTTTATTAATTTTGTTGTTATTCTGACAGTTTTATTGGTTTTTGTTTGTCTTTATATGTTTTTATTCATTTTTATTTCAGCTTTAGTTTTAGTTATTTGATTACACAAAATTAAACTAAATGAAAATGACAAATGTTGCCTTGGCTGGAATAAAGTAAGTGTGTTTTTAATTTAATTTAATTTTAGTGGGATTTTTTTCCCAAGTATTTTAAGGAGCAAAAATGTATAAATATTTTATGATTTCAGTTTTTAGTTAACTATAATAACCCTGACAAGTGATATTTCAAGCAAGCGCTTCATCAAACTGAACATTACAAAATCTTAAATACCCATAATCTCTAGACACATTTCGTCTTTTAAAAAATGTTGAGACATGTTACAACTTAGATACACTTGCAATATTCCAAAATCACAAATATAATAGTGTGTACAAAAAACCTCATAGAAACATGTATAATGCGTCCATTAACACCAGGGCAATTGTAATTAAACAGATCAAAATAAGATCATCCACCCAGCCTCTGCATATACAGCTCAAGTCAAATTAGGAACTTAAACAGAAAATGACAGTGCAAGTATATGTTTGCATTCAACATTTGCCAGTATAGTTCATGCACAGGATGTGAGTAAATCTTCTCACTGTGGCTGCTTGAGTCCCAGTAGGCGCAGAAGTAAGCGGCAGCATGACTCGTTTGAGTGTTTCTCAGTTTTAGATCATAAAGCTTTGTTTTTTTCCACGGTGAAGTAATTTGCTTGGGGATTGTTGGTATCAAGAGTAATAATACCTCCTTGATTGATATAGAGTAGCCTCGATGGGGCTTCACCCTCTTTTATTTGGTACCAATGGATATAGTCTGAAGAGCCCAGACCAGTCACTTTGCAGGGCAGATACACAGTTTTGCCCTCTCCCTTAACCAAAGCCTTTGGACCTTGATCCACAGTCACTCCCAGAACTGCTGCTTTGATTAAACCAAAATAAACTTCAGTACATTTAAATCAGTTTTAATTTATTACCTTATTACTGTAAATGTCACTTACCTGGCATCTCTAAGAGGAGGACAATATAAATGTATAAAAACATCATTCATCTGGTGAAAAATGTTTATAATTGGTGTAATGCTTTCTATCAGGTTTCACACTGCTTTTGTATGAACTTCAAAAATGGGGTGCTGATGTCATTTCCTGAAATGGAGTTACCTTAGAAATCGTGTTAATCAAATTCAGCATGAGCCTTTTATATTAAATGAAATTACTTTGAAGTATTGCAAAATAATATTTTTGTCAGTTTGTCACACTATCCCCATCTGTAAGATATGACAATTTATCAGAGAGACTTTTTTTATATGATTATGATGATACCGGTGCTTAAGGTTATTTTAATTAATTACATTTTATAGTAAGACTGTTTTGGAAAAGAAGAGAACTGAAAAAATAAATGACAAATAAAACTGACGGGCCAGATGTTTTGTAGGCTAGTATAGTACAGTAACAATAGACATGATCCAATAATTTCGAACATACAGAAAGTGTCCAAATTGGTTCTGTCTTAATTTTGAACAGTGTCTCTTATAGCAAAGTTATATGTTTTCTGAAAACATAATTGCTTAAAATTTTTTTTTAAAGTCTGACACTCAGACATTTTGTTCAATTACTGATCTGTAGTGTATTTTATCGACAGGATATTTGAACTACTAAGATTCTTAAAATATCCCAATGTGTGGACAGTTATACACATTTAATTCGATAACAGATTTTGTTGAAACTTTACATTAAGGTCTCAGTTGTTAACATTAGTTAATGCATGAACTAACATGAACTAACAGTGAGCATATATATTTAGAATTTATTAATCTTTTTTGATGTTAAATAATAAAAATACAGTTATTCATTGATGTTCATGTTACTTCAAATTAATAGACTAATAGTCTACAACTTAAAAAATTTTGTTTTAAATGAAATTAACATCAGCTAAGATTAATACATGCTGTAAAAGTATTGTTCATATTTATTTCATGGTAACTAAAAACCTTACTATAAGTGTCTTTGTTTAAAATGAATGAAAGCCGCTTCACATTGCTAATGCAAAAGTTCACTGGAAAAGAAGAAATGTAAAAGATAAATGTCTCCCCCTTGCGTTCATTGGATGTCCTTACAAACAAATAAAAAAAATTGTATACTATAGCTAAACTACACTAACACTGTTTTTAAATGCTCTACCCTGATTATAAAACAAGTGATTTATAACTTGTGGGCCTATTACCAGTATGTAAATATGATATTTATACTGATGCTGTTTCCATTCGTGAAAATGAACCACAACTCATATGAACTATTCTTTATTCACTTTACAGTTAAATTAGCACAGATATGTACATCACAGAAATGCTCTACAGTGAGGCTAACAATACGAACACAGGAGTGATGCTGTTTTTTCGTTTCAGAACCAAACAATGAAGACAATGATTACTCTATCAACCAATTACATATATTGCATATTTTTTTTAGATTTCCCACCCCAAACTTTCCCTCTCATCATTGGCTTAAAAAATATAAAGTTGAATAAATACAATTTCTCCAAACATAAAACATCATTCACAAATTAATATTTCCACGTCCATATTCAAGGATAAGTTCTGCATTCATGTCCTTGTGGATATAATACACATAATGTCTGTAATTATAGGGAGCTACATGTTGTGTTTTGCTGTATTAGCCAGGTGCAATATTTCAGATTTCTTCTCACAACATTTCTCATGCTGTAAACTCAACACATATCCATATTCATCAAGAGGACTTTGATTATTTGGCATAAACACTGAAAGTCTCGGCCGTAAACTGTCAGTATCAAACATATGCCAAATACCACCACCATAGCCGCGCACGGCCAGCCGTGAAACTACAGAGAACACTAACGATGATGCAATGTCACATTTATATCTGAAATATCTCAAAGAAAACACCTAAGTTTTGTGTAACACTTAGAATGGTTAAATAGATCATATCACTACAATTTCTGATAAAATTCGCTGCAGAGCAACAAAGTCAATACAATACACTTGGTGCAGAGAGGATAAGGTTACTTTTTTGTCTTTAGAGGGGAAACTCTCACTTTAGTTCTTCTTTAGACAGACAGGGATTACATGTGGAGGTCACCAGAGTTCCAACAAAGCACACATCAATTCATTGCTGCTCACAGGTAAACAAACAAAAAACAGGGATTTTATCTTGGTTTGCGAGAAAAGGTTGACCATACTATCACGTCATGCTTGGTTATTTTCTGTATGCTCTGAGTAGGTATTTGTGTCTCCTCTTGCTTCGTTTAGTCGCTTGTGTTATTTCCTCTTATGTGGTATTTGCCTAGTCTGACTGACAGCTGTCATCAGTACATTAGACTTCATGGCGGTTGGCTCTGTCTGCAAACGTCCAGATCCATGCGCCTTCTGACGACACGCTCAACCCATTTACTCCAGACGCTGTGTAAAGTTTTCAGGAAACAGTCCTTTCTGAGCCGAGGTGCCATGCTGTAGCCAGTCGCTCTCTCTGATGCCAGTGAGCCAACCAGCATCCTGAAGAAAGATCAAAATGAGCATCAAAATCAGGTTATGATTATCATAAGAAAAGAGAATAACACAAAAGTTAAACATTCAAGAGAAATCATATACCTGATCTTCAGCTAGCTCTGTGGGTACTACCAAAACAATGTCTCCTTTCTTCAGCTCCAGTTCGTCTGGGTTTGCTGCTTCAAAATCATGCATCGTTTCAACCTACAGGACAGCATAAGAATAAGAAACGTGATGGACATTAAAGCTCTGTGTTCATTTTCACTACACGACTCTCTAGAACAGTGGTTCCCAACCCTGGTCCTTGAGGCACCCCAACACTTCACGTTTTGCATGTCTCCTTAATCAAACACACCTGATTCAGACCATCAGCTCATTAGTAGAGACTTCAAGACCTGAAATTGGTGTGTCAGAGAAAGGAGACATGCAAAATGTGCAGTGTTGGGGTGCCTCCAGGACCAGGGTTGGGAACCCCTGCTCTAGAATACATTATTCTGGTGTGTCAATAGCGCCATCTGGCGGTCACATGTTTTCTATGATTGGCGCCACTTTCTTTTAGTCTCTCTTTTTATAAACGCAAGCGGCGCCATCTTGTGTCTCAGTTATCCATTGTAGTTGATTGAAGACTACAGTATATTTCTGCAGTGTTCTTCTTATTGTTTGGCCGAATGTTTTTGTATACTGTAATGGGCTATTTTTGCTTAGAGGAAGCTTTAAGGTTACTGTATATCCATGTTATTTTTAAGTTAACCGCTAGTGCAATAATTTTTAAATTGAATATGCAAGGCTTCCGGTTTCAGCAGCTTACAGTTATTGTAGCTCTACAAAAACAGTTTATTATGCTGCTTGATGTTGCAAATTGGTATTTGTTATCATATTGTTTTTTTATAAATTAAATTTATAATCGTAATCTGAGACAAATGATTTTTACCGTTTACTGCATTTTGTATTCTTTTAGTTACAGTTACTAATAAATCGTAAGTCTTGCATATTAGAATATGGAACAATATTTTATGACCACGTTTATTAATTTGGCGAGTAACTGCATAATTAGCAGAATTATGTATAGTCAGCAGGTGGTGAGCGTGATTTCACCAAGTACAACATGTTCCTGGAACATCATTCCAATCAACCAATCAGAATTGAGAGATAACTTTTCAGGAAATGTCAGTTTTAGACTTTTATTTAGTCATTTATTACATGACTATTAGACTTACAATCAGGATTAGGTGCTTCTACACCCTTGTTAATCAGCTATCATTTCCCTCTGTTTTTAGGAATAAATTATGGGTAAGGTTAGGTTTAGGGGTAGGGATTGGGTTAAGTCTGTATTTTTGGACAGTAATGTTGATCCAGGATCAACAAAAGATGTTGATCCAGGAACATGTCTTACTTGGCAAAATCACGGCGACCGTCTACAGGTAATTGTTGCAAAATAACTGTACGACTGTACTTTATCCTTTACTTAAATGGTGTTTGCTTTATATCCACCTTGAAAAGGTATACAGGAGGCATTCCAGAGGAGATGTCTTTGGTTGTCTGGCATTCTGTGATCACCCCATTGCCACTGGTTGCTATTGGAGATGTGATATCACCATCACGGTCGTCATCACCTTCATTACTAGAGGCAGGCTCAATAACAACAGAAGGGATAGGCATCTTTTCCTGAGGTGAGGCAAAAAAAAGCAGCATTACTCAACATGCAACTCAAGTGACAAACCTAAAGGTAAGGTATGCAAGTACATTTTTGTCAAGTAGCTTGACACAATTACATAATACACATGAAACAGACCACACATACATAATACATACTTAAGAAATGTAATAAATTAAAAACAACTGAATAAAAGAAAAATGGGTAACACTTTACAATAAGGTTTCAATTGTTAACTACATTAGACAACATGAACTAGCAGTGAACAGTACTTTTACAGCATTAATTTCGACATTTACTAACACAGTTTTAAAATCAAAAGCTGTATCTGTTGACATTAGTTAATGTGCTGTGAACAAACAATGAACAATTGTATTTTTATTGACTAACATGAACCCCTTCTCTTGCATAAAGACTAAATGAGGCTGTTGTGAAATGTTACCAAAAAATAATTGTGACATTTCACACATCAAGATACTAAATAAAAACTCAGCAAAACAGTTTGGTGTTAAAGCATTTTGATTCAAATCTAAGTATCAGAGAGTTTTAAAGTACAGTCCAGAATGGTTACATAAAGAAACCAGGGTCTTGTCAAAGGCCTGCATACCAAAGTGCAGAATCACAGGTGAATATCTACCTCCTCTTTCCCATTGTTTGCAGCACCCTCCTTACTGGTTTCATTGCCTGGTTGGGGCTCAACATTATCAGGAGCATCTCCTGGTTTGGGCTCAATATTATCAGGAACTTCTCCTGGTTGGGTGTCAACCTTATCTGGTTCATCTGTTGGTATGGGCTCAACATTATCTTGTTCATCTCCTGGTTTGGCTTCTA